GCTGTTGCATCATTTATTGCAAATCATTTTGAAAGAAGTCAGTAGGCGCCTATCACACACTGGTAACCATTTTCCACACCGTAATCACAACAGCATGAATTTCTGGGGAATCATTATTCTTATTCTTATTGCCTTCCACACAAGGTGCTCATAAAAACAGCGAAAAGCAGTTAAAAAATGCAAAAAATCAATAAATATGTTTGAAAAACAAAACAATAACAATACAGTCTAGAAGAGACACCCATGGCAGAGACCCAGTCATCCAGTTAAGAAAACCTGTCAGATCAAAAATGTCTTCAATTTGTTTCAGAAAGTGCAGGTAGTGGGAACTTGTCAAGTTATGATATAGGGTTTATTATTGTTTATATTATTGATTATATTTTCAATTAGATATATATGGAGGCACCAAAATCTTTTAAATGCTTAGAGCCTATAAAGGTCTTAATATGGTCCTGGTTCCACAGAGCAAGGGCAGCCACACTGAAATCTCTGCTCTGAGTTCCTGCGGAGTGGGCTTCTGATATTTTTGGAGCTTGCAGAAGAAACTGTCCCACAGTGTTCTATAAGCATATAAGGGACAAGGTGGTCTCACAAGTAACTTGGTCCTGAGCGGTATATGGCCTCATATGTTAGCATCAAGATCTTGAACTAGATCTGGTAGCAGATTGGTGGACAGAGCAGATTCTGCAAGGAAGGTGCCTGTAGTTTGCTGCCTGCAAGCATGGTGCACCAGTTGCAGTCTCCATACCAACCTCAAAGGCAGCCCCACATAGAGCACATTGCAGTAATATGAACATCAGGTTACCAATGCATGGGCAACTGTGGTCAAGCTATCTTGATCCAGGAATAACCATAGTTGTCCTACCAGGAGGAGTCAGGGGCAAGATCAACAGGTGCAATTCATTTCCCCCCTATGGGTGTCCAGACGAATGTCTGAACACTTCAACAACATGTCAGGAAAATGCACACGCTGACAAGAACCAGGATTGGCTAGGCTCCTTGCCTCAGGTAAAAAAACAACATCAGCAGCAACAACACATGGTGGGGGAAAATCCACTTCAACTACAAGAACACACGATAGAATTAAGCAGGACCTGTGTTGAGTCTCTTATTTGTTAAATGACTCACATATTCTCACAGAAAAGTTAGCTTTTTGAAATCACAAGAGACTCACAAAAAGGTTGGAACAACCTCTTGGGATTTCTGTAAAAGTGCCACTATTCTAGTAAGTGATTGGATGCACATTAGAATGACAGAATGCTTATATTTTGGAACTTTTTAATAAACTTGGTGGGCCGGGGGTTGGTGGGAGAGAATTTTTGTATTTTGTATTGCAAACGTTTGTAACTTTTGTATCCTCTCCTTTGAGAAAGGATCATGAGAGCAACTTTCGAAATATTCTAATGTAGCAACAGAGCCACATAGTTGTTCTCACATCTCCTGTTTCCAGAAACACTGTCCTATGAATACAATGACACTGGCAACATGGGGCTATAGCTTCGGGCTGGCTGTCATGCCATCCTCTCCTATTGTGATAAATGGTGTGCCCGTTAGTTTTCTAAATGAACAGTTGTTGTCCCACAGATTATTTCAGCAACATGCATGCCCAGATACTGTGGGTGAACCCTGAAACAAACAATGCTACAGAAGTACATGAAATTATGGAAATCAAATACTATGAAAGCATGTGACTAAACAGGTTTTGGGAAGAGCGGTTTTTCTTCCCTTCTTTCTTCTGCAGAAGATGATGGCAGGAAGAAATAAGAGAAGATAAGTGAGGTCGACAAGTTGAGGGAGAGAAAGTATATAGATCAACCCATTAAAATTCAAAGCCTAAGCATACACATCAGTTACCAATTAAAATCAAAGTTCTGATGTTGATGAGAAATATCTGCTAGTCATTCAACTGTCTTATATCCTCTCCAAGTGGCAAAGGAAATAAAAGCCTCAGAGAAGACTAATGGGGCCTCCCATCTTCCAGCTTCCAAATGAATAAATTATTGAATTTTGCATTGGGTACACAACCCCAATGTGGAAAGTTCATTTAGGGGAACAAGATTTGCTGGACCATCAAACACAGTGCCCTGCAGTTGCTGGCACAATTTGTTATTACAGAAACAAGTTGACTAGAAGGGTTGTAGTACAATGATAAAATGCACAATTTGAATGCAGAAGGACCCAAGTTCAATCCCTGGCCCCTCCACATAGCGCTGGGAATGTTCCCTGTCTGAAACCCTCGGGAGCCACTCATAGTCAATATGGACAACACTGAGCTAGTTGGACTAAGGGTCTGATGCGTTATAACACAGCTTCCTATATTCCTAGGGTTCTGAATATTCACAAAGCCTTTGTAAGCCACACCATTTGTGACCCACCATGTTCAATGTTAGCCCATCAGGTGGCCTTTGTGGTTTCATAACTCCTCATTTTTATGCAGCTCAAGGTAGGCTGAAAAATCAGAATACTGAACACTGCTGGTTGGCTTGTGAGTTGCTTTGAACCTGACAGATCATAACCTAGGCTTCTCGTTTTGTCCAAAAGTATGCTGCTGGCTCCATGGCTCCTATGAGCTGGGAAAACCCATTTTCATACCTGCAAGAGTGGTGCAATAAACACTGCATGGTACATATGAGTGGTATGCAGGGATTGGGAGAAAGCGTATCACTCAAAGTTGCTGCTGCTGCTTTTTAATCAGATTAATGGTCTGATCTTTGGCCAAAGCTGATGATCCCCTCCCCCCGCATATTCACATTTACATAATGAAAACATTACCTAAGGGGCTCAAAATCACTAAATGTTAATGCAACAAAATTAATGCATAAAATAAAGAACTATTTATCAATGAAGCAGTAAAATCATGATGAGGCACTAAACAGAAGAAGCCTTCAAGCCACCTAAATAGCAAAGGTGAGAGAGTCAATGTGGCATAATGGTGAAAGTGTCAGATTGAACTGGAAAGTTCCCATTTTAAATCCCCACTCAGCCATGAGGCTCACATGGTGACTTTGGACCAGTCACTATTTCAGCCTAACAAAGTGTAAACATGGTACGTTCATAAATTCAGCCGTGGTCTTGAATAAACAGAGACAGAAGCGGCGAAAACAATTTTTAAGAGAAATGAGAAATCGGAAGGGGGAATTACATAAAAAGCCACCCCCCTGTTTATATGGGTGAGAAGCAGACTGGAGCGTCACTCCAAGGTCTGCTCCCTAAATCCCACCCACCAGACCGCCATGGATAGGCCAAGGATTCAAGCTGGGTCTGCTTTGGACTCAAGATGCTTCACAGCAGCCGGGGGGAGGAACAAGGGCCGCAGAGGAAATGGCGATGCTCTGTGGGGCAAGGGAGCCGTCATGCCGGGGTGCAACCGCTGCCCACCCTTGACCCAGGTAAGGGGCCATTTTTAAGAGAAGTGAGAAATCGGAGGGAGAAATTACATTTTTTTAAAAAAATCCCACAGTATTACAAATAATATTTATTGCTGGAAGAAAGCATGATGTGCCTGGCTGGGGTCATGATACAGACATAAAACCAAGCTATTCTGAAGCCGGGTATAAACTCTGAGGAAGCTGCAACCCTAAAGGAGCAGTTTGGTCCAAGAGGAGGGGATGGGATGGGATGAAATGGGCATGTTGGTTTGTACTAACCAGCCACCTCTTGGGCTGGAGGTTTCAGGGTTTAACAAGAAATGAGATCAAAGCCTTCACACTGATATGGTTGTTTATAAGAGAGCAAGCTGGCTTCTTCTATGTGTAATGCACCAAATTGATTCCATGATTCAATACAGTTTGCATATTGATCACCATCCTAGAAGGATGTTCTCATTAACTAAATGCTTCAGGCCATGCCGTCATTGCCTTCCTGTGTGATGGAGAATGCTGGAAAGTGTACAGTTATGCCACAAATACCTGCACCCCTACCACTGGCAAAAGAAGCACGTCAACCTAGCTTTCATTTATCAAAGTGAGCATCTGCCTTCATTATCCTCAATGCAAAGGCCTAGGCTGCTGCCCAACTTTGCTAATAAATCTGCATCTAGTGCTAGTTAATGAGGATTTTTCAATAAAGAAAGGCTTTAGATAACATGACAAATTCCCTATGCTTTATCCTTTTAGGGGTGTTGGGTGATGGCTTTTGATGCATCTTGTATATGATATATATGATAGACCGTTCTAGTTTGCAGAACCAAAGAGCTAGTGTGAGAGCTTTCAAGTTCTGCAGAACTCATGATTGTGCTGGATGGTAAACAAAGTGAGTTGAGTCAGGTGGGATTGGCTGGTGATGAAACTGTACTTGCATCTCTTAGGAGTATTAAGATAGAGTGTAAGAGGAGATACTAGGCATTCAACTGAAGCTCTGTTAGCTGCTGTGCAGGATGCATCCATGTGTCCTGGGAAAGAGAAGCATACAATCGCTGAGTCCTATTTTTTTGTGTTTCCAAGCCAGGTGCCATTTTTAGAAGGATGCCTACTGAATATTCATGACTGTCCATCCACCCAAGGCCGGCTCAACCAAGAGGCAAGATGAAATGACTGCTTCAGGCAGCAGGATCCACCGGGGCACAAGAACCCAATGTCAACCTTTCTTTCTCCCCTTGTTCCTGGTGTAGCTCTTTTCTCACCCCTTCTTCCCTGGTAGGTAGGAGTACACCAATTTGGGGGTCTGCCTCAGGCAGCAAAATGTCTTGGGCCAGTCCTGCATCTACTCACAATCCCGGACCTGCTTCTTGGAGGGAGCAAATGGGGCAACTCCATCAAGAACAGATGAAATTCCAGTTTCTGGGTCAGCTACACTCCCCACAGTGACTTGGTCTTCAGTTTTATTTTGTACTTCATGAGATGCAAGAATGGAAAAATTGTCTTGGTTAATTAGACAGAAGCACACAATGGAATGCAGGAAGCTGCCTTATTCTGAGTCAGACCATTGATCCATCTAGCTCAGTATTGTCCACACTAATTGGCTGTGACTTTCCATGAATTCAGGCAGGGTACAGCCCTACCTGTAGATGCCAGAGTTTGAACCGCGGACCTTCTGCACACAAAGCAGATTCTCTGCCTCTGAGTTATGGCTTCTTCCCCTATTGGACCCAGAGTTGCTGAACAGGGTGTTCGGAGAGAAAATAGATTGACTTTATTGTTGACACAAGCTATTTCACAGTTGGCTTACGTAAGCAAAGCTCTAAAGGGGATGGCAATGTTTTCCTCTTTGAAAGACTTCCATAACCTTTAAGACAGCAGAATGTCTTCTTCCTAAACCACACTTATCTTCCCAGCTATGTACTTTTAAGTACGGCGTGCAGCCTTTTCATCATCATTTAAGAAGAAGCAAAACATATTATTTAATAATTCTACCCCACTTCTCTCTAAAGTCTTAAATGATGGTTATGGGCATAAATACTTCATAATGGGAAGTTATGACTAAAGCCATAAATGAATACCTCCTGCTTTGCCCTGAGAAAGAAAGACAATAAAATGGCTTTTAGAAGTCTAAACTTTTAATGGCATTTTACTTGTGAAACAAAAGAAACCCTGGTTATATATTCCAGAGAGAGTCTCGTTCTAATGACTTCTAATCTCTTTATAAAGCCTTTTTCTATAGCGGTGTAATTTGCATAATTGTTACCCTATGTAGAATAAAAGATTGTGCTACCTGCTGAGTTCTTTGCTCTCCAGTGAGTGCAAGCAATGAGCTACCATGCACATTCAGAACAGTTGAGAGGTACAGCCCTGTTGGGGATGCCACCACTGCTTGGTGAGATGGTGAGGAGTTGAATGCAGAAATCAGGGACACACCACCACAATTTCTTTGACCATGACTCCCACCAGGCCCAGGTAGCAGGGCTAAATGCCATGAATGACGGGAGTTGTTGCAATCCAACAACATCTGGAGACCACCATATGAGCTACCCCTAGAATAAATTATCTCATGAAGGGAGGTTTCATGAGATGTATTCACCACACAATCCTTCGTATGAATGAGCATTGTAGCTCATGATTACTCTGAACATGTAGATCAGGGCTGGATCTAGACACATCAAAAAAGCGTTTCAGGAAAATGCGTTGTAAACTTCATAATGGGAAATCACATTAGCGAAAGACGGGGCTCCACAGCACCATCTGGTGCCAGTGTCATAACGCATATAAAACACTTTTTCTTTTCTAATACAGCCGAGTCCCAGGTCTTAATCCTTACTCAGGGCTAGATTGTCAGCTATACCTTTTTGGTCCTTGTTGAGTTGGATTTTTCCAGGTTTGAGCCTGGGTGCGATGCCACCTTTGTAGGCCATAATTTTGAAGCTCGACTTGTAAGAACCCCAGTTTTTAACAGTTGTCTCGGGGTTAGTTTAAAGGCCTTTTCAGATCCTCCTCACATTAGTGCTTAAGTAGCACCAAAGAAAACTAACCCAGCTGCAGTAGTGCAATATTTTGATGGTAGCAATGGATTCACATTGAACTCAGAGCTTTAGGAACCTAGGAAGCTGTCTTATTCCAAATCGGACATGACTCATCTAGTTGAAGGTTGTTGACACTGCCTTTCCATGGTTTCAGACAGGAATCTTTACCAGCCTGACTTGGAGATATGGGGAATTGAAGCTGGAAACTTTGACATGCAAAATGTGTGCTGTATCATGAGACTATGGGCCAGCCATGAAAAAGATTGGAGTGATGGTGATACAAAGGACTCTAGTAATTTAGGTTGCAATCCTATACTCACACTTGCCTGGGGCTTACTTCTGAGTAGACCAAAACAGGATCATGCTGCAACATAAAAAACCATCCAAAACCCTCTCCCACATCGCTTCTTACTCCACTGTTCTCCAGACCAGTCTTGTACAAACAAAACAAAAGAAAGATCTGCTATTTTACTACCAAAGGAGTAAAATCTGTTCAAATTCAATTATAGCACTTACATCAATGATTGCCAATACAGGAAACTGTAGTCTTAGACTAAATAAATGTCATGCTATTTGACTTATTCAATTACACAAATACAGCTACCAAGTTCAAATTGACAGTTACCTTGTATGGTTTACAGTTTTAATGAAATAACAGTTTGGTAAAAATTTCAGGCCATATGAAATGTGAAATATATGTGTTCACAGCAGGCACCTGACTGGTTCTTCCTGTATAAGGCTCATTAAAAAGACATTGAAAGCAAAGCAAATCTAGAAGAGGCAGCTTTCAGGAGAAGCATCAGGTAGTATTGTGCTGGCCATATATTTTCCAAGAACTGCACAAATGACTCCCCATGCTTTTGAGAAGGATTCAACATCCTTTTGTTTTATATCTGTGTACCATGAAGCAGATGTTCAGGCAAGCCATAAATTTCAAGGCAAGAGTATGCCAGGATAGGCTGGATGACTGGCTCATTGGGATCCACAGCATCCTTTCAAAATTAAATATTTCCACATCACCCAGCAAGCTAAATCAGAAACTTCCAGTTCACAATGTTAGCCACAACAGCACATTATACCAGCTCTAAAATTTCATTTTTGTTAGGAGATACCAGAAAATGTTCCAATTATGTACTGGCTATTCAGGAGCGCTAGTTCTAGATCATTTGTTTCCAAACTCCTCGCCCCTGCCCAAGAACCACTGGAAATTCCTGCAGGTCTTGGCCAATCACTTGATTTCTCTACCTGCTGTAGCAACTGCGCTGTGCTAGATGCTGTAATTATTATTAAATTGTATTTTTATGGCTTCTTTTATTTCTTATATATTGTCTTATTTTTTACTGTATTATAATTTGAATTCCATTGATTTAGACAGTCAGTTAGGAAAGTGTTGTGCGGCCCAGGTTTTTGATGAATACTGCCATTTGCTTATGTTAACTGGGTTGCTTTGGTTGCTGTTATAATTAAAAGAAAAAGAAGTTAGTTGCCTTGTGGCTCCATTGTATTGGCTGGCAGGCTAAATACCATATTGGCCTGAATATAAGCCGCACCCAAATATAAGCCGCACCTTTAAAATTCAAGGGGGGCGGAGAGAGAGAGAGAGAGAGAGAGAGAGAGAGAGAGAGAGACTATATCTGAATATAAGCCAGTCCCTTAAAATTCCTCAGGCACTCACACCCGTTCTGTTTTACCATATGTCAGTTTCAGCAGCGATATCGTAAAAGCCAATTTTTGTAAGGTCACGAATTTAAGCCGCACTTTAACTTCTCATGTTCGGAATTTGGGGAGGAAAAAGTGAGGCATATTCAGGCCAATACGGTATATAAATATTCATGTTCACTGTTTATACAGCCATGCATGCACCTATGAGAAGTATGCATGCAGGTCCTACATAATCAACTAACTGTTACTGTTTAAAAGAATGCCACTCTCCTTATAGCCAACTTTCAGTTTCATTCATTCTCCTGGAAAACATTGCTCAAAGTCCAAACGTTTTGCATTCAGATGTATTACAATGCCATTTCAATGGGACAGATTAACTGTCCCCCCCTCTTTTTTTACTAATTTCCTGCCTCTTTATGGAGAGCCTCTATCTATGGAAAGGAAATACGTTTTGGTTGTCCACTAGTAAATAAAGGTTAAAATGGCTGATAATACAAACTCAGATAATTCAATTGAGCGCACAAATGAATGCAACATTAAGGCCGCTCATTTCCGTACCAGATGTGGTCTGCCAACAAACTTATCTACAAGGGCAAATTTGCTTGTCACCAGCCAGAAAACAGAGTCCACTAATGTTTCTGCTTATCACTAATCAGAAGACAAACTCTGTTAGGGCTCCACATATTAGTCTTATTATATGACTGTATATTTAGGTGGCTATATACACTCTACATGGGACAGCCCTTTGTGTGATGACATCCTCTGTCTGAAGGACTCTCCAGCTTGAAGACAGTTTAAGGTTAACGAACAAGTAGAAGCAGGTGGGGACTTGAAGTTGTCCACTAACACACAGGTGACCTGATCATAGTCTTCCCCACTAAGGCGAGGCCTGTTGCACTTTTATTTACGCTATAGCAATTGTTTCTTAATTTGCATGTATATGTATAAATTAGCACATGCAAATTTTGTGCACTTGTATACCCGCTTTGGTCTTATTTTGGCGATGTGTTAAATGAGCACCCTATTGTGCATTCATACACACACACACACACACTGGACCCTCGGGTTACATTATCTTTAGGTAATGTAACTTTCAGGTTGTATACTTCTAGGTTTCGCTGCATGCGCATGCACAGAAGCGTTCTGTGCTCTTCAGTCATGCGCAGAAGCACTCTATCGCGCCACGCACATGCACAGAAGCAGCGCCTCATGTTGCAGACTTTTCGCGGTACGTACGGATCCCCGGAACGAATTAAGTTTTTATCCAGAGGGTCCACTGTACCTTTATTGCAAAACAATTTACATAAAAAAACAACACAAACAGACCATTACCATACCCACATAACAACTAGACACTAACTAACAACATATCATTTAACATCACACACACTTTTGACTTCCGATGCACCTCATTGTACTTTTTACACATTATTGGTCTATATGCACTTCTTTGGTTTTCCCCCCTGTTACATATCAAGAGAGATTTTTGCTTTTATAATTTCCTTGATATTCAAAATTCAGTCTAGATCTGTCAGGAGATTTGTGTTGTCTCAGTACTTTTTTAGATATTATTTAAATATTGTCCAATCTTTACTCACTTTCTGATTTGAGTTTCCTCTTATTCTCCCAGTCTTTTTTGCAAGTTCTAAATATTCTATCATCTTCGTTTGCCAGTCATTTTTTGTGGAGTCGAGTCACCTTTCCAGTTTTTTGCTGTTAAAATTCTAGCCACTGTGGTTGTGTACATAAAGTTTTTTTTGTATTTTGATGGACATAATGCCTAACAGAAAGGCTTCTGGGTTGTTTTTTGAAAGATCTTTTTGAGATTTTAAAGATCTTTTTGAGTTTGTTATATATTATGCCCCAGAATTCTCGTATCTTCACATAGTCTCACCACATGTGCATGAAAGTACCTACCCCTTTTTTGCATCTCCAGCAAATGTTTGGGTGTGTGTGTTTTTTACATCTTGGCCAGTTTGGCCGGGGTCAGATACAATCAGTAAAACATTTTCA